ATATACATGTATATATATATATATTATTACCAAATCATAAAATGGAACTTCCATAGTTGAAAAGAGAAATTTTATTTTATATATCTAACCTGATGTCTACGCTCAAAATTTACATAAAGTCAGTATATACTGTATAAACTTAAACTATAATATCCTATATGGTTATATCCTATGCATCAATTCCATTTCTTTTTACTATCTTGTCTCAAGCTTGGTGACCTAAAATGGAACCATTTTTAAAATAGATACATACTATTCAGTACATCTAAAACTTCAGCTAAAAATTAAAACTTAAAATTTTTTAAATTTAATTCTAATTAAGTTTTCTCTAGCATGAAGGAATTTCACAAACAATACAGGCTGAAATTGAAAATATTTTCATAGTAAAAACTAACAATATATAACTTATTTACACATTTGTCAAATCCTATTTTCAATCATTTTTAAACTTTAGCACTAATTGGTGAACATCACTAACCTCTAATGCATCTCTTTCGAACAGCCTCAACTGTAGACATAACTCCAAGCGAAGTTTGCGGCTTGACCAAAGTTCCTCCAGTTCTTCACGGTTTCTATTTAGAGTTTCCAGAGTGTTCCCAATAGCTGTGAAGGAACCAGATGTATCTGTTTCTGCTGTCATACCTATATTTCTAAACATATAAATAGCAAAATCAGAAACTGGTTCACCATATCCCAAAAGTATTCTGGGGTGATAAAAAAAAAACAAGGAACATGAACTCTCCTATATACATAATGCATCCTATGCTAAACAACAAAATATAGGAAACTCATCACATTCTTTGGTCTTACATGATTGCCAAACTATGTTACAAAATAACTAAACATAATCCTACATTTCTCAACAAAAAAATTATGAAATTAACTTGACACATACATGACAAACATACAAAATGTCTTGCAACTTATTCAGATTACTAAATGTAAAATTAGAGAATAACATATGCCACACCTATAATCCTAGATGTCACACAAAATTAAAGAACAACATGCTACATACATTCTTAACCCTGTGTATGGGTAGGAGTCAAAGTGTGCATGTCACAACATTTTACACATTTACATTCAAAATTTAATTAAACTACTTTATTATCACTTTATGTCAATAAACTTGGCATCAAAACATACTTAATAAATCAAGTTTTAATATTATTTAAGTTTTAACTTCTTAATTTTGAAAGAAAATATTTAAATAAGTTCTCCATCTTCACTTCTATATATCACGTGAGACTTATTCACTCTGAATTGCCCATTTAAACATTCTTTTCATTCCAGTTTAAGCTTCTCAATTTCAATACAAATTACAGACTTATATAGATATTACTGAGACATAATCTAATTTTATACTTTCCAATCATCTTGATTTACAAAGATATAAACCAGAAAGTCCAACCAACATGCCATGCCTTTCTATCACACATTGTCTTTCAAAAAATGTCATTAATTCTCTCTGACATATGGTATTACATTATTTATAACCAACAGAAAGAGAAGATTTTAATTTACTGAACTATGTACAATGCTACCTCATTCTGAAGACAGCTTTTGAACTATCTGACCTAAAGATTCAAAACTGCTATAGCAGAGATCACCTGTAAGGGAGTTAGTTTAAAGCACTTATAGCTTAGTTAGAAATCTAGTTAAATTATAATAGTGATAAAACATTGCATTCTTTGTGCATGTTATTAGTATTTTGTGTTATAAATCAAACATTTAAAATAAATAAAAACTCTGTAAAGTACTAACAACTGCACCAAAAATTAAGTTAACTTTTAAGGAGACTTCAAGTGCAAATAAAAGTAAAAGACCAATAAATAAATACTAAACTTCTTGTTTTATGTATATTATCCATGCAAGCTGCAGTGCATTATGTAATTCAATATTATATTTACTGTACCTTGAGTTATGCATTTGCAATGTGATTTCACATTTTATTATGTAGATTTAATAATTAGATTTGGTTCAAAGAGCAATAAAACAATAGATTTAAAAAACAACAGATGTGAACTGTTACAACCCTGAGACTGTTTAGGATGAATAAAAGTATTTATATTTTGAACATGAATATTACCTTGCACTCAGGCTAGTCAGAGTCTGAGTTAGACTAAAGTAACAGTGGCCACATAGCAGAGGCAGATGGGTTGAACATTTTCTGTTATCCCTACTTGATGCACAATTTGAGATAGAAAAGTAATACTAGGGATGCAATGCCAACCACTCTGTGGATTCCTGTGTTTTCTTTTTGTTTGTTTTTTGTTTATGTTGTATGGACAATCCACCTCCTTAAAGCCTCTGGGAAGATTAAAAATGGTGATTTAAATGACATTAAACCCAGACCACAAGGTGATGTAAGTGATATGATGCAAAGGTTTTGGGGGCAATCTACATCTCCAGCTATAGGATGTCACCCTGGGGGCATCACTGATTGGATGCAAGAGATGCCATGAGATGATAGTTAAAAGACAAAAGAGTGTCATCTCTCATGGAGAAATAGACAAGTTGGATGAGTTACTTAATCCATCTGGTCAAAGAGGAAGGATATAAATCTCAAGATGTAGAGGGATTTCATGACAGGAAAAGATTTTCATTGCATCTACAGGGAGCTGTGTGAGCAAGATAACATTGTAATGTCTGCACAAGAAAAAGAAGATGATCAGGATCTAAATGATAGTATAGAGACAAAACAGAAAGAAGGGTGATTAGAAAAAACAACAACATCCAATCACCCTCCCAGGCAGCTCAAGTCTTGGGAAGGAAAGGTCTGGAAATGAAATCAACCTATCCCTGTGAAAAAGAGTGCAGGAGCCATTTGAGGAAAAGACCTCAGATCAATGTCTCCTGCAAGCTAGAAGAAGAAGAAATATGTCTTCATAGAACGATGAAAAAGGAAACTGGTGGCTAAAAGATTTCCAGACAGACATGACAGAAGATAGCAAAGGTGTCTAAAACCACACCTAAACAGAGGTATTTATGAACAAATTTATCTGGGCAAAATAGGGGAAGAGGGAAGCCAAAGGTCATGTGGGATTGACTGAATCAGCCTAACAACAAGTGGTGAAGAGATAGAGGGAAAAGAAATAAATGATGTCAGTAGATCATTGGATATATTCCAACAATCTGCCAAGTTCACTGAAGAGGATTATAATGGGCACATCCAAAGGAATAAAACACTTTACAAAGGCTTGAAGCCCCAAAAGTGATAGAACATCTCAAGTAGGAAGAAAAGGAGACCTAAGAACCTTGGAAGCCAGATGCTCCTTATCTTGGAAATATAAAGGAGAAGGCTGAGCTGATTCAACAAATGATTTAATAAAGACCCCTAAATGAATCAGATACTAGATGGGAGTCAAAACTGACTTAGACAGCCTAACCAGGCAACTTGAACAAGCAAACTCCTGAAGGAGAAGGGAGGTCAGAGCAAAGAATGTCTTCTAGAATGTGGTTATGAGAAACTAATTGTCTATATAGTTGTGTAAATGAAGACCCAACAAGTGCATTATCAAGACCTAGTTGAAAACTGACAGAACTTAGACCACAAAAGACAGAGAAAGCCCCTGTATGACCTACAGGGTTTTCTGTAAAGTTAGTCTACAGTTGCAGAAAGTGTAAGAGCCAAGCTCCCACAGGGCCAGAGCTCCAGAAAGAAGTAACTTCTGAGCCATTTCACAGCTAACCTGAAAAAGCATTGTGGGATAAAAATTGGAAGAGAATGGGGAGCTCTCAAAAAAACTAATTTTCAATGGAAAAGCATCAATTGGAGTTCCCACAGATAAAACTGAGGGAGTATAACTCTAGAAAGTAAGGTATTCCAAACAAGTAAATCCCAGAAACAAAGAAACCAAGTTAACTGAACACTTCTGAATAACAAATTAAGGCAGTGTGGAAAATGGGTAGGTGCAACTTTCTCCAGTAAAGCTGTCAGAGTCATGATTCAAAACCTCAGAAAAAAGGGGTAAAGGGGTAGCTAATAAGTTGGTCAAGCAAAAGATGAGAATGAGCAGACTAATGACAAGAGAGAGTAAAACATGAGAAAAAGATATCCAAGATGGAAAGAGAGATTCAAGGGGTTAAAGCACAATAAAAGAGGAAGAACCTTACCATAAGCCATAGAGAAGGTGTCTTATGATCAGAAAGAACATTGCAATTGAGACTCAACACAAAGCTGGGAAAGAACAAAATCTATATGAATGTAAAACTCAGGAGAAGAAGGAAAGAGGGAACAAAAAATATTTCTCATTATTGAGGTACATGCAATAAGCTTGCCCATGAATCAGCAAACACAACTGGAATAAAAGAAAAAAATTATGTACTTGAGGCATCACAGCAGCAAAGAACAAATATGGAGCTACCAGATTCTTATCAGAAACAAGAACCAGAACCAAAAGACAGGCACTGGGAAGAGCTCGTCAAAACTGTCCAAAGACATAGTAGGCTCAACAGAGACTACAAAAGCAAGAAGCTGCAAGTTCTGGGTCCAAGATGAAGAATACAGAATAGAACTAATCACTTGATGTACAATGGAGTAACATCATTCATTATCAGAGTACATCCCATCACCACTGAAGTAAAATAAGACAACTCCTGTTAAGTCTCTCACAATAAAATTGGTCGAATCAACCGACCTCATAACCATTTTGCTATCATTATAGTTTTCATATTATAATTTTTTAAAACACTTGGTGTATCTTCACAAAAAAATTGGCAGACTTTTAGTAAACATTACAATCCTATTGTACAAAAAAATCAATTTTTAGTGAAGTATATTTACAAAAGATTTGTCCATGAATATAGACAGTATTTCCAAATACTAGGTCGAATGATAAGTGATTTTAGTGTTAAGATTAAAAATACTTTTCTTCATCTCAAAATTCTCAAATTGTATTTGCATAATCTCTAAACCCTCCTAAATAAATTTCAAACGTTTTTTCCAGTAAAACTTTATATTTTATCTATTATTTTCTTTACCTTAACTTTATACAGGGTTGGGCAAGATTGTTTAGGGAGTATCTGGATCTTGAAAGACTTAGAAAACATAGATGCAATAATTCGTATTCAATAAGATCCACAAAACTGAAGTACCTGAAAGAAGTATTTTATTACTTTTTGTTTTTAACTCCCCCCCTCCTTTTTTGTCATTTACTTTTTCTTTCAACAAACCAAGAATGATTACTGACATGAGTCCAAACCTTATTCCAGAGTTAATGATGATAGACAATATTCCTTTCATGGAAACCATATCACAATCTTTTAACACTTCTCCCAAATCTTGTGGTTTGGTTATGTAGAGAAATGAAATTAATAAAGGAAACATAATAATTCTTATTAAAACTGAATTTAAAAGTTATGCAAAAGAACCTTTGTTTGATAAAAGGCATAAGAAAATTAAATGTCTAAATAGTGTAGTACTGAGGTAAATAGTAAGCTTTTGGTTTACACAAAGTGCTCATGAGGAGTACTATGCAAGAAAGTTGTGTTACCTTCCTATTGGTGGAGGGGTATAGTATAAATTTGACTGAATAATAGACTAATGTAGTACATATTATTACATGCAGGGACAATAGTTTGTTCAACAGCTTTGCACATGCACATATGCAAAAACTTTTGCCATCAGTACTGACATACTAGCTATTTGTTCTGTGCAGAGGTGAGTATCACAGCCTGAATTTAGAGAACAAGTTTCCACTGACCCACATTCCTAAATGTCAAAGACAAAAAATTCTGCCATGTATCCAAATTCTTAAATGTAACTTAAAGTTATAGAACAATTTGAGACATATCTACAATCCTAAATTTCTGAAAAATAACCACATGCCATATTCCTAAATGACAAATTTACTGAACAAACTGCCATATTCAACATTTCTGAACATCAATCAAAGCAAAAAATTTGTAGTATATACACATTCTTAAATGTCACACAAAGTTAGAAAGCTTGCCACATATCCATGTACCTCAATTTTGCACATAGATAAAGAACAACATGCCAAATATCCAATATTCCTATATGTCAGAGTTAGGGCAGTGGTTCTCAAACTGAGAGAGGTAAAGCAAATCTTACTGCTGCTGCCTCCTGGCATGTCAAAACTTTTCTGCACTGGTTTCCATTACATTGAACAGCATCTCAACTTCAGAAAGAAGCAAATATTCAGTTTACCATCACAAGCATCAAAATCCCAAATGAAACTTCTCTGCTCCAACAAACAGATTCACCCTTATCACTAAAAGGCAAGCAGTATCTCACATAACATTTATATTACTGTATACTTACATGGATGTCTGTTTGAGCCATTGGAGCACTACAATTCTTAATCTTTAGGAATAGTAGCATATTTCAATTTTTGTGTGTGTGTACATATGGGGTGTCAAGTACCATGGAGAAGAGGAAGAGAAGCACCATATAAAACATTTGAGAACCACCATGATAGGGATCACTTTTGTACATATCTATATTCCTAAGTATCACCAATGATCCAAGGACACCTTTCCACATACCAATACTTCTAAGTATATAATAAAATAAAGAACAACTTCCCACATATCCACACTCACAAATGTCAAACAAGAAAAAAAAAACTGTCAAATAAACACATTCCTTAACATCAAAGTTAGACACCATCTTGGCACATACACACATTACTAAATATCAAATATAGATGAAGAACAATTTTTCAGATACCCACATTTCTACATTTGAAACAAAGAAAACATTCTACCAATAAATATCCATGTTCCTAATTGTTAACAAAAGTTAGAGAAAAGCATGCCACATACCGACATTCCTAAATGTCAAACAAAAGTCAGAGTACATCATGCAATAAACTCAGATTTCTGAATGTGAAGCAAAAGTTAGCGAACGTGTCACATGCAAAAGTTATCAAATATAAAGAAAAGTTAGAAAATAACTTTCCATATGACCATTGTCCTCAGCTTTAAGCAAGGTTAAAGAAATAACTATAAAACCACAGTCACTGATGTATAAAACCAAACAACAATATCAACAATGGCAGAAGACTGTTTATTAGGAAGTAACTGCTATATTTACCTTTCAGGATTATATCTATAAGATGTCTGCTTATTTCTCTTTAACAGCAAGGGTATTCAACTGACGAAACAATGCATTCCAATCTTTATAAGTAAGAACATAAGAGAAAAGTCTTTAATTAGCTATTCTTATTACTGGATTAACTTTCAGTTTAGATCTAAGTAGGTACCTTGCTTTGATCAGAAGTTAATATTAATAGGTGTAGTACAAAGTATTTTATATTTGTGTCAATCTTAGTTGGCTTTTTGTTACTCTTATGTCAGAAGTCTTCAAAATATCTTCCTTACTTCCTTTTAACCATATTCTGATATACCCACATTACTAAATATCAAATATTTTGTCTTCAAAATATCTTCCTTACTTCCTTTTAACCATATTCTGATATCAAAGTATTGGTTACTATCTTCCATTCTTTTCCCAAGATTTTGGATGAATGACAGGAAGATAGTCAATTTACTTCTTGAATTCTGAATGTGTAATAGTCTGGGTATTTGTTGTTAAATCACAGGTAGTATGTAATAGTTTATAAAACAGTTTTTGTATGTGCTGCTATATGTACATCAGCTGGTGATTTGTAAATGGTGTCTGTTCTTTTTATAAACCTCATAATGCTCCTTCTTTGGTTACATGAATGGTTGGACAAGAAGTATGTGTAGGTAGATGGTTAAATTTATCTTTTCATAGATATCACACCACAATATCACAAGTTTGATTTGTATCACCTCACCAAATTCCACAATTTTCTTGGTGGCAGTAAAAGACTGTTTTCTTCAAAGTCTTCCCCAAATGTCAGAGAAATTATCATCTTTATATTCAAAAAGTACTTCTTGGAACTGAAAATAGGTTCCTCAGATATAGCAGTTGGTTAATTTTGTTAAAGAGGAAGGGAAGCATACACCTAAATGTCAAATAAAGTTAAAGAACAACTACCCACATATCCACACTCAGAAATGTCAAACAAGAAATAAAAGTTGGGGAGGGGGTTCAAAGTGCCCATACCATGACATTTTACAGAGTGCCATTCAAAATATTATTAATTAATTGATGTCAGAGTTATCAACTACTCATTTTACCCTCCATTGCTGATTGAGCAACAATTCGTGGCAGAGAAGAGTAATTACCATACACAATATACAGGGATACTGAAAAACACTGTAGACATGCATTTTGGAAGTTCTGGAGGTTATGCAAGTGCAATATACAAACTGTACAATGGACAAAAGAATTTTTATTCTTCACATGAACATCACTTTATAATTCAACTAGTCAGAGTCAGACTGACATCACAAACTCACAGATATAACTTGAATACAAATACTTTTATAACACATTTGATTTTTTTGTTAGAACAGACTTCTACTTTTACTAAAAGACTGACACATTTTGTGTGGATACATGTATTAAATTCTGAATTATGGTTAACATTCTTTCTCTAATACAGGGATGATCCAATTGATCAACCCTGTACACATTCAGTTAAATCTCCAAAACTTGAACATGGACCAACCACTACTACTGACAACTTCCAATGAAATTAATCCAGCCACAATCATTTATCCAAGTTTTTGTAAACATTTAAAAAAAAAGACACTACCTAAGCTCTTTTAATAATGCTTCTCCTTCACTAATAGTTCGAACTGTTGCCTCTTCTGTAGAGGCTCTCTGTTGCACAAATTTCTGAAGCAATTCCTCAGCACCTTCCACTGTCTCAGAAACTTTCTCACTCTGCAGCTCTTCACGTATTCCTACACACCAACTAGTTAACTACATGCAAAAAAAAAGATCAATCTTGCATTTATGCAGCTCAACTCACTTATAAAATATCACTTCAGTCAGTCACCCTAGAGTTTACAAGGTAGATAGGTATAAATAATTTATTTTATGGCTCAGTTTAATATGTCTTTTGAGTAAGTACTTATTTTACAAATAGAATATCCAACTAAATTAAAATAATCTGTTGGTTAGAATAAGAACATGTTATACTCATCTTGCTTGGCTTAAACAAAGTAACCATGTATCATTACAAAACCATGATTTCATTAACACATATAAGTTAGCTCAAACATATTATAAACTCAGTTCTTAGATAGCTCAATAGAAATAAAAATTTATTAATAACATGAAAAATATAGTTTCACATATAACACAGTTCTTAAATTTTAAACTATGAAGAACACATAACCATATTCTACATGTAGCATGTTCATAATAATACTGTTCATACTTAATCTTACTTTCATTGTCCTTCATTTCATAAGAAACTAATTAATTTTAGTTATTTTTTTGTTCATGGGTTTTGCAACACTATTAACTGCTAATAAGCTAGATTAAACCTTAAAAACTGCATTTTCAAAAATTAGTTTAAGAGAATATAAATCACATAATAATTAAAGAACAAATAAAGAGGCACACCTCTGAGTTATGAGTATAAAACATTACAGCCAGATGAAGCAGTTGGTGGCGCTGCTCAACACGAGCAGCAAAACTGGCAACATGAGCCTCCAACTCCTGAGCAACACCATAGATTTCATCAGCATTACACTCTCCAGTCTGGGCAAGCTCTTCAGCTGCTACCAGCAGCTTCTCAGCATTGGTGTAGGTGTTCTATAGAAAATCAAACTACTAGTAATAAATTTCTAGAATAACTTATAACATGTATCAACTTGTATAACATGTATAACTTATAACAACTCATCTGATATACTCTATCATCAATGTATATTACAAAACCTAAGAGAAACTTTCAGGGATATCAAACAAGTTAAAACAGGAAAAGCTGTATAGATAATAGATATAACCTTAAAACAACCATATCATGACTATCAGAACTTGCACTATTCTCAAAGTTTGGTTAAATTACAAACTTTCAAAGTATCAAACTAATTTTACAAGAAACCTCAGTAGTAACCTTATGGAATACATGCACTACTCTGTCAGAAGTATCCAAATATCATTCGAACTTGTGACATACAGTGGGAAACTTGATCTAAACATGCAGAAAGGTAGATTAATAGTATTCAAGTATATATAGAATGCCTTAACATCACTAAATATACTTGAAATGCAGAAAATTTGTATGGAAAATAATTTTCATGAGACTATTCAATGCATTCAAAACATGACAGAGCAGCACTTAAGAAATATTCAGGTCAAATGTTCTGTCAAACCAAGAAAAACTTCAAACTATTTCAACTGTGAAAAAATTATGACAATTATGTATGAACAATTACCATCTACAAGTTTTGTGCATTGTACCCTATATCAACCTCAATAATGCTTGGTAATTTGTTCTCATGTGTAAAGTCACAAAATTGAAACTGTGACTAGTCCTCTTGTTTTGTGATAAGAGACTGCTTCACCCAGTGTTAAAGTGATGACTAACTGGGAAGCATAGAGGTGAAAAAATTAATAATGATTGTGTTGTTTTAAATTTGAATGAGCTGGATGAGATTACATTTTGTACATTAGACATGAGACCTACCTGTGAAGTGTTTACACATCTAATTGGCTTTGGATAATAAGATATTGAATAAAAAGGATCCAGAATTTTCTGATCAACAAAACATGTGCAAGCAGAATAAGTACCCACAAACCACTCTTGGTCAGAAAAAAAAACAACATTAAAATTTTGGAACAGTCTATAGACTGTTCCCAAAGCGCAGATCTTAATCTACAGAATACATCTATGATCACTGGAAAGAGTTTATTCAAAAAGTTATGTCACAGCCTAATTCACAATAAACTGTCTGTTTTATGATCTAACAACATAATATCACTGTTCTGTCACAACTTTACAGGAACTTTGACTGTTTTCATAAACCACATAACTAACAAAATTAAGGTTTACAAATTATCCAATGAAACTCAAGAAACATTTTTTTTTCTACAATTACTTGTTCTTCACAGGTCACCATAAACCGAGAAACCATCTCAGGCATGTACACACAAAACAATAGTACTGAGAAGCTGTCAGACAAGTTTTTGTCTATCAGCTTATACCTGGAGAAATTTTGGTTCCCTAAATGCCACAAGCTTATATATCAACAATAAAAAAGTACACCAATTTACTGTGACAAAGTTTTCTTCACTAAAACTAAATTACATGCATCACAAGTAAGAAAAGTAAAGGTTTTTATCAAATATCAAATGCAATAACCTTAGTAAAAGGAGAGATTTTTTTTCCTTTTATATTACATCTTCCCTTTATTCAAATAGAATATATTCATGTCAATTTTCTGTACTGTAAATGTGAAAAATAAAGATACTACAAAATATAGCATTTCAGTTTTTAACAAATTAGTTTATACATTTACTGGGTCATCACATTATGATGTGTTAATAACCTAAAAATTCAGTAATAGTCTCTGAAAGCTTTCACACACACACGCACACACCCATTAAAAAAATTAATATATCAATGCTGTTGTTTTTTTAACAGACCTTCATATGGATTGTGCATTATTTCAAATTCAAACCATGGCTTTGTATCAAATTTCACACAAAGACTTTTAGTGAATCTGATATACATTCACTACCATTTTATATTAGGTAACTCAAATCACACCCTTTATGATATGCCAGTACATACACATCCATTAATGATAAATATAAACTAAGTATAGATCACAATGAATGTTTAAGCCAATATTATATTCTTACAGACATGCCAGACACCACTTAAAAATATATATATTAATGGAGAAAAAAAACTTTAGGTATATAATTACACTTAGGGACAAGTGTTTTGTTTGTTGTTAAGCTCAAAGCTGCACAATGGACTATTTGTGCTCTGCCCACCACAGATATCAAAAACCCAAATTTTATCATCATAAGCTTGCAGACTTAACATTGAGCCATTGGGGGAGGTGGGGGGGGGGGCTAGAGGAAAGTGAGTCATATATAATTAATAACTACAAATAACACTTTCCTTTTACATCTGTCTGTCTTCAAAGCAGTATATTAGGTATACATTTACATATTTAGTTTCTTTATAAGGGGCACCCTATTTAACAAGTAAGCATGTGTGACTATTATTTTGTACATATGTTTATATGCTTTTAGTTGAATTATTCTAATAGCTGTTTCTACAAATACTACACACATAATGTTTATCATGCATTAGTATCAAAAAAGACAGTCCCTCACTTTGGTGGTAAACCATGGCACCTAGCAAGTACACCCACCAAGCATAAATTAAAAACAGTCTGACTCATATCCATCAGGTAATATGTATTATCACTCTGACTCATATCCATCATGTAATTATCTTCTTAACAGCAACTAATACAATGACATCAGTGTTAGTAGATATATAGATGAGGAGACCCTGACATAAGCCACAATAAAATTACCCGATTTTTTCTTATTAAAGGTAATGAAAGATTATTTCTAACAGCTTCTTTTCACCTTTAATAACTATCCTTTCATTCTTTTTTATTTTACTAATCAATCCTACAGCCCTTAGATACACCAATATTTCAAAGACATATCTTCAAATAAATGTACCATTTATACATATCAAAAATATTGTTTATTTCACATCCCAAGATTGCCACAGCCAGAATAAAATCTTATAAAACATTTTATAAAATTCCCAGACTCTTTCAGACTTAGAAGTTTCTCTCCCCCTAAATTTTCTCTTACTGTGTAACATCATAGATTGTTAGATGTAATTTTTTTACTCATTACAGCTTTGTAGAATCTGTGTCTTATCTATTTTATGCTGTGCGTATACATAAAATTTTCTAAGTTCACAGACATGAATAGACGAAATGTTTGTTAAAAGAAAGATTTCAGATGAAAGCGCTTGTATGTTAGATACACCTACATATAGTTACAATGTTATTGAACACATGTTCCTACACAAACAATGTCAAGGACCTACAAATCTCCAACACTATCAAATCACTGAAACAAAAGTTTTATAGTCCAAGTGTCAGTGAGACATTTACTAAACTACCAAACACAACCATTTGTTGACATTATCATAGATCAAAAGTGATGAAATATTTCCTTAAAAAAGAATGAAAAACACAAAAAACTGGTGGTAAGGTTATTAGTTCACTCTGACTAATACTTTATGTCTAAGCCCTGCTTCTAGATATAAAAAGCCATTGGGAATCACTGTACAAAGTTTTCTATACCCCAAATGTAGATTTGAGTAACTATACAACCAGTTTGTGTTTTTCATTTTTTTTTCAAAGGAATATTTTATAATTTTTCAATTATTAAATAATTTTGTATCCCAACTCAACTTTCAACATTAACAAAGATCATTCATTTATAAACCAATAAAAACTTGTAACAATGACAGACACATGGAAAACTACAAACCAATCTTTCAACCTTTTCAATGCAGTTGGTCTTAAAACTACGATTATTCTGCAACTTGTGCTTCTACTTCTTTGTTAAAAGTTCTTAGTGAACTTTATATGTTTGTTAAGGAAATCAACAATTCATATTCACTGTGCAGAACTTACTGTATTAATAAGTGAATTATGTAGAGTTTTTAACAACTTTAAACAGAAAAATTGGGTGATCAACAGTTTCCTGAATAACATATTGTCAATACTGAAATACACCAAATCTAAGCTAAAACACCAGCACCAAAGTGTGTGCATGCGTGTTCTTTTCCATTTGTATTTTCTAGTAAGTAGACAACCCCTGTACCACTAAACAAAAAGTGTATTTATTTTACTGTCTATTTTGGCCAAATAAATGTGGGGTTTGAAAATAAAAAGAACATGAAAAGGGAATACTGAACTTTCTCTTATTTAAACATCCCAAGCCTTTAGCTTTCAATCAAAATGTGTTAATTAATAATACCCATTTTGTACAGTTTTACAGAGTCTACTAATAATAATTAATACATATCACTTTACCTCTATTTACAATTTTCAAGCTACACTATTTAATTTATAAATTTTGTTGTTATAATATTTTATATTTTTGAAAGAGTACTTATATTCTCTTATTTTGTTGATTACGGACATTGACCCTCAAGAAGTCACGCCCTATCAATAAACACCCTGCAGAAATATCATACCTTAGTGTTAAATTTACCCAAACAAAGTTCAATGTACCCTTGCACTGTATTATATATATTTGTAGTTTCAATTCTTTCATTGTAGTTGATGTACCTGATGATGCCAGGTTAACCTGGTGAAACATTGTACTTTCATTAAATTTTACTCTGTTTATCCAATTTATCAAGTTTACTTTTAATTATGACAGAGTACTTCCTTTCATCAAATTAATACATGTGTTGTACAGACTACTACTGTTAACTAATAATACATGCACTGTACAGATCACTATTAACTAATGCTACATGCACTGTACAGACCACTATTAACTAATACTACATGCACTGTACAGACTACTAATACTAACTAATGATATATGCACTGTACAGACTACTATTAACTAATGATACATGCACTGTACAGACCACTATTAACTAATGACACATGCACTGTACAGACCACTATTAACTAATGATACATGCATTGTACAGACCACTATAAACTAATGATACATGCACTGTACAGACTACTAATACTAACTAATGGTATATGCACTGTACAGACTACTATTAACTAATA